TTATTGTCTCGCTTTAGAATTAAAAAAAGATATCGGTTGCAAAATCCTCAATTCCGCAAATCGACCCTTCCCAGTTATAATTGTGAATTGATTGAATATCGAATTATGTGAGTTCGTTATAGTTTAAATGAAAACTCATAAGTTTGCTTCAAAATTTAATTCAGTCATCAGCATGCCGCATTGACAGCGTCATCTAAGTGCTTCAGCATTCACAGTTCGCGATGTGTTTTGCATATCTGAAATGCATGAAATTGTTGGTATGGACACAAGAATATTTATTGTATTGTCTTATCACGGTGAAAACAAAATTTTTGCATGCCATAAAAAGTATTAAAAATTCTTACATGTTATATATGTATGTATGTATGTACATTTACTTAGATTTTATATGCATTTTCCTAATAATGGATGAACAACAAACATAAACAAATTCAAACATAATACATATGTATGTATTTACATAATTAAGGCTAATATTAAATTGTGCACAAACTATTGATAAAATGATAAATATATACATATATTATATTTTTACATACATATGTTAAAAGAATTTATACAATAGAATGTAGAATATGTACATATGTACATATGTATGTATGCATGTAAATTTCATAAATTTGTTGCAAACAGCTGATGTTAAGGCGTAGAAAAATTTATCGGCAGAATTATTTTGCCGAGTCTCATAGGATAGATCTGCGATTTCGAGGAAAATGAGGTTTTGAATCAATAGTGCTTCGTACTTTTTTTCATCTTCTGAATCGATGGATATATATTGTATAAATAAAATCATTGCATTGGATAAAAACTAACAAATCTGGCTTATTCTATTTTCCCAACAAATTTATTAGGATGTTGTTACTATACACTGTATTAAAGACAATAAAAGCTCACAAGAACTTACCTATAATTAGTCAAAGCCTTCCACTGTTAAGAACTGTCTACTAAAAATAGTGGGCGCCGCTAAGCATGGTTTTGAAGGGACTGAAGGGAAATGTTTCTTAAGATTCAGCAGTTCAAAAATTAGATCCCCTCTCGACAAACTATGTAAGTGGTTGACACCAAACTCTCTTCCTGCAAGTTTTGATAGTATTTTGTCGAAACAAACGAAATTTGATAACAATTTGTAGAGTACAGAAGAGGGAACAAAATTTATTGCTTGGCAATTATTATTGTTTTTTTTTGTTTCGTAATGCAATGTCAATGCATTTGCCCGAAACTTAAATGCAAAACTTAAAAATTTTGTAAAGGTTCAGTTGCTGGTGTCACACTGTTTTGATCTTCATGATTTTATTTTGTTCGGGCATTTTTCTTCTGTCACTATTTGATCAGTGACAACGAATAACTTATTTTGAATGTTGCAAAACTCTCTTTTTCTCCATAATCGGTTAACAAAATCGTTAAAGGAATATTGTTTGGAATGGCAACGAAATCTATCAGGTGAACTCAGCTGGAAACAGCCGCTAAACTCCTGCTTGCAATGATCTCCAGGAATCTTTCGTCGATTTTTTATATGTATTTCTTATGGGTATTATACCAGTTTTCTTTACCGTTAACAGTCAAAAACTGTTATCACAGTAGAACATCGATAGATTTGAAGAAAAAATTTTCATTTATTATTTTTTCCTATTTAATATTACCGAAGTTATTCATAGTTAAGGAATTGTATAACAAATTTTTATGTTCAGCATAAATGAAATGAAGCGTTTGACGCGTGTTTGGCTTTTTATATTTTTAGTGCAAGCGTATCAGTGCCAATTATGTTTTAGCCGGACAAACTGCCCCTAGGCCATTTCGGTGGAGCGTCAAAGACAGCGCTAACTGTGTGACCCAATTTGTCCGTACTCACGTCGACGCGTATGGTCGCTATTGAACGCTTATAGTAAATAGCAGAGACAGCGAAAAAGTGTATCGAATGCATTCAACTGTTTAAACTGTAATTCATTATGCAAATCGTTAGAGTTGATGCCGTCATAAAAACCGGAGCACAAGACTTGCTGCGAATATGCACATACTTTGCGAACATCGTCACATAATTGGAGTACTACAAAATGCTCCTCTATAACGAGATAATATACTAAGTCAGGTCTCGATACCAGCTTGTAGTTAGCCGATTATTGATCATGCCTGCTTCACAGTTTCACAGAGAATTTACTAAAATTAGTGAGGCTCAGTTAATTCATGGATCGTATTAAAGATTTATTTAAAATAATACGCAGTGCAGTCCTCGAGACGGAAGACATATATGAAAAATTTCCTTGCAAATTGCCGCTCTATCTGGGTCTTGAGTAATGTGACCGTTTCCGTTGGTAACATTTTAATAGTGCCAAAACTTGAGAAACAATTGAATGAATGGTTTATTTTTCAGCCTTTGAGTTGTGGAAAGATTTTTTCATCTAAATGTGGGATTGGTTTACATAAATTTCAGTTGCAATCAAGTGGAAAGAGTTTTTCACTTCTCAAAGGATATTTCGCTATCTACCCATCTCATGGCAAATATTCTAGAGCCCTTTTGAATTATTATTTTCTTTTTTGGTTTTATTTTGTTTTGTTGAAGGCGCCAACAACTTCGTCATTTTTTTAACAACTCATCGAGTAGTTAATGATAACAGCTGATCAAGCGGGAAATTACTAAGCTATTAAAATTACCCGAAAGTCACGAATCCCACCATAGACCTCTATTTGATGCTCGCACTACAACGCAAATCTAGACATTCCCTAAACTCCAATTACTTATTTATAAAGCTTTTCAAAGTATATCAAGATAATATAATATACAGTTTACGATGATCCAAGGTTTATCTGACAAACATTTGTACACCTATGCACGAGTACGTATGTTATATTTACATATGTTCGTAAATACGAGTGTGTGCACACATTCAAGTCTCTCCTGAGTCTGTTAAAGAGTTTAAACCCATGCACGTATGTATGGACGAGTATTCCCAATAACGCTTCGGTGAACTTGGAGAACTCACCACAACGTAATATTAATTAGAAATACAAATACAAAGCAAAATAATGAATATATAAAAAATTGCACTGCCAGCCAACTCTTTGGTGTGCCAACAACTACTTCATTTTTGGTTATTACCAGATATATGTACGTATATGCATTCGCGCATTTGTGCTCTGCGAGAAATATTTGATCTAAGCAGTGTATGTATGTATATTAAAAGTAATTGGCTTCGATTTCCACGTTCGAAAAAGTATTGCCTTATAGAAATGAAACCGGGTTCAAATCATTATTAATAGCCTAATCGGAATCGGAAAGTTTTACCGTTCAAACGGTTTTAAAGAGACCGGAACAAATGATAATTAGACGTGGCATCAGTTTCCAATTGAGCTTTATTAATTTTTGACGGGTTGAAAAAGAAGTAGAAATCTGGTGCTATTGGCCAAGTCAAAGAGTTCTTTTCTTAATTTGTTTCGTTCCTATGAACTATAGTAGAAATTTGAATCACTGAATTGTTTCCTTGAAAGTAGCCCAAAGTAGCTTATAATGATGTCCCACCGCAATGAACACATAACGCCGTGTTCAACGTAGACATGGGCAACGAGCTGCCGGCAAAGTCGTACGTGGAGCACGAGAAGCGTTAATGCGGATTAGGGAAAGGCCTCGCTTTTGGCAGGTAAAATTTTTTTTATCAGAAAACAGTTTATTTAACTTAAGAATATTGTGAAATTATAAAAACAAACGTATCAGAAGAAAAACATGTGTGATATAAAGACAAATGGAATTCCATCATCTGTATCCACAATTGCCAGTAAATGAAAGAAAATTTCAAGAGTATTCAAAAATGCAGATACAAACATTTGACTACATATAAGTAAGTAAATATACATGGTATTTATTACCGTAGCACACAAATCACTTCTCTTTAGAACTTCCGAAATAGAGCTTCTCTTTTCTGTACAGTAGCTATTGCAAGATTTCTGCGGGCAAAATCCAACGAGTTTGGTTTTCAAACATAACGTGCGATGCGGGCAGGTTAAAGTACACGCATAATCGTAAAATCGTGCTTACATTGGACACCTACATTTGCAACCATATGTTTGAATTTAAGATCTACCCGCATTTACCGTACCGCACCGTTCGCAGCGTACTTGTCGTGTCTACGCTGGACACGGCATAACTCCTGTACGATAAGCTGATGGGCAGTAACAATTGTCACTAATTTTTACTGAACCGCATTCGCCGAGGCAAGAGCCACTAAACTTTGTACCGGAAAGCATAATTTTGACATTTCGTCATTCGTTAATTCTTACTGACATTTCTCATCGAGCAGAGCAGTAATATTCAATATACACATCAAGTAAACAAATAATTTTTAATCGCCAAATATGGTTTTTAGTTATTATTTAGTAAAGATTCGTGCATGTGAGAGCGATAGGTGAGATGTTATTCTTTAATAATATTTATTATTAATAAGTAAATGGATTTAGTTTTTCTTAACATTTGGATGTTGGTGACACCGGTATATAACCCGAGCTTTCCGAATGCCAGTTAAGCAACTAACCACTCGGCTAACGCAACCGCGGTATGTATTTAAAATACAATAAACAGGTGATATTACTCATTCTTACGGGGTACTTTGGGTACTTTTGTGTAACATTACTATACTCGGCAGTAAATAAGTATATATGTATGTGTGTACAGTTGCTAACATGTATTCGATCTGTAGGCCAGAAATGATAGCGATGGTTGTTAGGCTTGATAGACTTGGCGTGCGGGCTGGGATTGTGGCTTCGGCTATTGAGCGCCGATTCCGCGACTATCAGAGTTACTCGTGAAACAATACATTCAGTTTGTATTAAGCCAGAGAGTTGGTCGGACGCGTTTCTTAGAAGTCTTAAGTGTATGTACTGACGTATGTACGTGCAGTGTTAGAGTTAACTTTTGTTTTTATTTGGCATTTGTTGTATATTCGGCTGACTACATTCATTGTTCGTATGTCTGTTGGCTCATCCTCTACGTCGCGGGCTTAGGTGTGTTGATCTCCTGCTATCTGCTTGTGTAAACCGCTTTGTTTGTCCCGAATGTGTTTCTTACTCGTATAAATTTAGTCAGTGCACAAATATTCGAATGAGAATAGAATCACAAAATACTTGACCAGTGTTTCGTAATGCCTTTGTTTGAATTTCTTAAATACAAACATTATTCTTATTAGCTTAAAGTCTCAAATATTTCTCCAAGTGTTAACTTTAAGAAAATTGTGTAAATTTGCATACTTATATACTCGTATATGTATGTAAGTAATGCATGCAACTACTTTTTTTATGGTTACAACAAAGTGCTGTGGAAATTTGTAAATATTTGCGAATGCATTTTGTTTAAACGCATTTCCTCATCTTCAAGTTTAGTGGAAGTGACGGAATACAAAGTTAAATAATTTTCAAAATAAAAAAATTTTTCTTCGTTTCTGGTTGCAGTGTTTAAAATTTCCGACCAGAAAATGATCAGCAATAAAGTGTGGAGAGCTTTAAGTATCGTCGGTTTCATAGGAGTGGTGATATCATCATGTCGATTGGCGGAAGCAAAAGGTAAACGGAGAGTGAGCTGAATATGTGTTTCAAGCTTATACAATTTTTCAATATTTCCTTTATTTAATACACCTGGAATTGAAGCGTTTTAGCTGTATTTGTGATATTTTTAATGTAGCCGTAAATATCCACCAAACTGAATTTTCGAGTAGTACGTTTACATACGATTGAAAGTGGATAATTTGAAAATTTGTACCTACTTTTTGATTAGTTTCCGTTAAATTTGCGATGGGTAGTCTATACGGAAATCCTTATTCTTTAAAGTGTATTAGTAATTTACAAATACATCTATGCAGATATCAATAGACTATACTTATTTGTACCTGGTTTTCTACAATACAAAATATGTACAAGTGCACAGTTATTATTTATTTTATTAAAATCCGAATCGGGTTTTAAAATTCGGATTGTATCAAATTTGAGTTTATTTGTTGAAAAAAAAACAGTTTTTGCACAATTTTGCTTTAAACCAAGCTTTCGAGCGAAGATTGTATACCAATAATAATCTGGTATTCAGTATTTAAATATAGTCAGTGGTCTAACAAATGTATAGAGACTATGTTGGGCCTAGAAGCGATTTTGCATTTCACAAACGAAAATTATCCCTAGAGATATGTATGTACACAGGAAAGAACAACATCTACTTATTATCATGATGAGCATTAACGAAGAATTTATTTTTGAATGAGTGATATTTAAGTTTTACCTTAAGAAATTGTTTTAGAAAGCCTCAGAATTTATAAAGAGTGATAATGCGGCAGCTTAATAAAAATTTGATTCAAGTAAAATATACAATATTTATTTAAACAACAAACTCAAAACTTATGAATAAACTTTTGTTGCAATAAATAATTTTATCTCGACGATTTTTTGATTTCATGGCCTTGAGAGCATATTGAGAAAGTTCAAAATTCTGTCTATTTTTATATTTTTCACTCTCTCTTCGAAGGAAGATTAATTTTTTTTCGTGTTTGGCTCTTTATTCTTAACCAAGAATTATGCATATTTACAAAAATCTGAGATAATTTACATTTAGCTAAAAAATAAAATGAAGTTGCGCCCAAACAGGCAGATTGGCTCTCTCACATCTTTGGCATCCTATAGAAATTATTAGTTTATATACATTTGTACATATATATATATATATTATATATATATATATTATTTATCGCCTTTAAGCACAGGAGTTACCGCTTAAGTGAAAGATGGATGAATAACAACTCAATATAGAATTCGATAAATCTTTCTTTGATCTTTCATGTATCCGCGAAAAGAACTTTCTATGGTTCTCTTAATTGCTATATATAATTTATTTAATATAAATGTTAAAGAGTATTTTGTTGTGAACTGTTAAATAATTTAGTAATTAATTACCACACAAGCATACAAAGCATTCCTTTACATTGCCTATGGACTTAAAAACATACATATTTCATTCGGTTAGAGACTTTTAAAAATATTTTTTAATGTTTATGACTTATATTTAACTATGCTATTTATGTGAGTTAAACGTATACATAGTATATTCACTTCTCAAAAAGGATAAAGCTATTCAAGTCTTTAACTTGTTTTTTTTTATTTTTTTTTTTTTTTTTTTTTTTTTTTTTTTTTTTTTGGTATTTCCTGACTTAATCAAACGCTAGAATTTGCTCACGAGAGCATGAGGAATATGCGGCGTTGTCGGATTTGCAATGCTACTTGAGCAACTTCATATCTTCGAAAAAATTTAAGGTGGAGATGGCAGACATAAAACTCGTTTAGCAGTCTACACACCGTTCGGAGGCTTTACGCTGCGAAAATTGCCCACCGCAAACTAGTAGATCTACTAATACGCTTACCGCATATTCATATCCATACATACGTGTACATATATATATTCCTTTATTATTAATGTGCATGTGTACATGCATACATACTTACATATGTTTGTACAAATGCAAGTACTTGTGCATATACATATGTACATACGTGTACATATCTACGTCTTCTATATGTTAGCTGAGACCGTGCGGGCTCAAACGCCACATGATGTCATAATTCACGCGAAAGGCAAAAACAGAAAATGATAAAAAGTGCGATTAATGTAGTTTGAAAAAGCTGACCTCGTTATTTTCCCTGGCTCGCTATTGTCGTTGGCATGAGCGTTTAGTGCAATTGATTTACCACATTCAAGCGGAAAATGAATTGCTGTTTAACCAAGTGGCGTATCATTATGTAAATAGCTTTCTCTGTCCCCTAGTGCGCTCCCAACGTTACTAACATACTTGGACCTACATACATATTTTCCCTTTACATAGGAAAGAAAAACAGATGTAAAAACTATAAGTATTGTGTTGTGTAAGTGGAAAAGATTGGTAAATTCTCACCTTGCTCAATTGATATACTCACACATTTTCACTTGACGATGCATCTAACGAAATTAACCGCATCAGCGAGCTGTCATCATATTCTGCTGCTGTCATATTCTCTTCTGAACTATAGTAATTGGTAATGCGGGATGGCCCAAAAGATCTTTAAATTCCTATATAAAGCCTCAACAGTGGTTAGCATTGCTTACTGCCAGGGTTACAGACCAGGGTTCAAGTCCTGTTTCTAACAACATCCAAGATTATAAATAATTAATATTTCAAATTGAGGTCGCTCCTCGGCAGGGAATGTCACCTAATTCGGCTTTGATTATGGCAAAACTGCCAAGCCTGAGGCGTGGTTTTCTATTTTTTCCATAGTTTAAACTTTACAATTTACACAGTTGGGTCGGAACTTTTGGAGTTTCCCTCTTTTCGACATATGTATATAATATGTACATAAGTATCTGTACGTGCATGTAACTGTTTACATATATATAGTTCAAATTTGCAATGGCGGTGAACAGCCATGCGAAGCAAACACAAGACTTAGGCGACAAACGTGAACAGAAAGTGTTGGTTTGTGCTGCGATTATACCGCTAAAAGACCTTGAAGTCGTCATTCGCACAAACTAATGAACATCCATCTGTACAATATGTATCTTAGTATTACATAAAAAAATATAATTATATTCTGTGAAATGTACGAATACATGTATATGTACATAAGTGAAATACCTCAACTTTGCAAACAGCTAGAAGTGAACAAATGTTGAGCTAAGAATCTGACATTTAATTCTTTATTTGTATATACATAGAATGTAAATATGTTAATGAATTCCGTGCCAACTACAAATAAATACATTACCAACGTGGCATTAAGTATTTTTAATTATACGTATGTACATAGATTTAATAAATGTTTGTGGGATGGTTCAAAAAAAAAAAAGATCAGGAAAATTTCGCAAAATTTTATTTTTAATGTCTGAGTGGCCAAGACAATGGGTATATGATGACAATGGACAAAAGTGTGTATTTATTTCTCTGTTAAAAGCCGCTTAGAATTGGCTTTAATAGTGAAAACGACGAGTGTGACGCATACACAAACACATACATATACACGTCCCATCGATATGTGTTATGTGGGCGAACTTGTGTTTGCAAAGGTTGTTACCTAAAAGATAAATACGGATAAAACGAATTGAATTACTCAAAAGTTATAATGACAAACGTTTTGAGTGCGGTGTGTTGGCGAAACCAGTCATAGCCAAGTCTGGAGACAATGACTGCAAGCCACTTCCATGGCCAATAATGATGATGACTTTGGAAAATTACAATGGGTAGGGGATTGTGTGTGAATGCGAAAATAAGTGGATTGTAAGTGCACGGTGGGACAATCGATGGGGTTGTGTAAGTAAAAGTACGTATTAGGGAAAGAAGTTAAATATTGCGAAGGAGATTGCTAGGACTTTGCATTAAGGCATATGGACACTTTCAAACATGTTTTTTAGAAGCAGTATACCCTTTAACCCATTGCAATCATAACAACTTTTACTGAACTCCGGTTGAAATTTCTTCGGATTTCGTTAGTGCGAATTATTCATACATTGAGAATGGCATTTGACAATTAAATGGGTCCGGCACAAGATACTATTCCATATAAATTCTATTTAATTAACAAACAATACTACTTTAATAGTACTGTTACAACAAAAAAAAACATTTCGGGCAAAATTTTGCCGAAAAGCCATTGCTGCTGATCACTTTTCATTGTAACGTATTTCAATTTGCATATTATTCCAACGAAACTTTTCTCATCTGCTAGGCACCGAGATTCTCAGGAGAGAAATCTACAAGCGAGTGCAATAATTGAGAGATATATTAGACGTACATATTTGTCCAAAAGCTTTGTAAGCGACAGCAAGCTTTTTTTAGTGTGGTGGTAGAAAATTTTGAAACCTCGTATTTAAATAAGATATAAGTCACTAAACACATTACGATCATAATTAGATTAATTGACTGTAGTCAACGTCCAAGCTTCTGTTTTATAAAGTAGGGCGGAAATGATTTGTTCGTTGAAAGTGGAGTTTACTTTTCAATTGTCAACTAAGTTTAAAGCAACCCCTGTTGGAAATAATGATTGGTGCCCATGCTGGTTTGAAATTGAGACTAACAAAGACTCAATATTGAGTTAAATAGTTAATTAAACCTTTTCTCGGTTATTTGTAAGCATATTTGAACATTTCAGCAGGTACACCAGCGGGTACTTAGAGTGCTCCCTCAATAATCTCAATATATTGTGAACGTCTGCTAGTATACCATCTTTCTCGTTCTTACAGGAAAAGCTCCGGTATAGCAACCATTTGCTTATAGATTTATGTATGCATGCATGGCTTGACCTTACTACCCTATAAGTTCGACTACCTCGGTTCACGACTAAGGATTCAACTAGCTCTCAGTAGTGAGTACTGGTCACAATTAAATAAACATCCATTCGCTTTAGTAACGAATTCAACATGGAGATGTCACTGCAGCGCACCGAACGGTATGACGTTTATGTAGACCCAGCGATTTGTCTTGTGCAAAGTGGTGGATTATTTCGTTCGTGCCACTGAGTTAGCGACATCGTTATTTATTAAAGACGATATACTTGCA